AAACCCTAGACAGCCGAACGACCATGGGCGGGGACCACAACTCGCCCTAAACCCAAAACCCCTGACCCGTTTGGCTTCAGGGAAAGAAACATAGAATAGCATATGAGGGTAGGATTCCAAATATGCTTTTAGCCATATGTGTATATATGCGTACACAAGGAACCGGATATACACTCACCCATAACAGTTAAGCAGACCCTGCGTCGTAGTGGGAGCCCCAAACAAAAAAGGAACAAAACCCTAAACCCTAAACCCTAAACCCTAAACCCTAAACCCTAAACCCTAAACCCTAAACCCTAAACCCTAAACCCTAAACCCTAAACCCTAAACCGAGCAAAAAGCAACTCAGAAAACATCACGCGGACCTAAGGGGGCCAGGAGGTCGCTCCACATCAGGGCCCCGTCTCGGTGCCCCTTTATGGTTTGATTCCTTCGCAAAAAGCCCAAAAAAAAATCGGCCTTAAACCCTGAACCCCTAAACCCGAAACCCTAGAACCCTAGAACCCTAGAACCCTAGAACCCTAGAACCCTAGAACCCTAGAACCCTAGAACCCTAGAACCCTAGAACCCTAGAACCCTAGAACCCTAGAACCCTAGAACCCTAGAACCCTAGAACCCGAGAACCCGAGAACCCTAGAACCCTAGAACCCTAAAACTCGAGAACCCGAGAACCCGAGAACCCTAGAACCCTAGAACCCTAAACCGTACAACCCTAAACCCAAACCCTGAACCCTGAACCCAAGGCGCGAGGCCTGCAGGATCTACAATCTCCAGGGCGGCGGCCATGAAGCCCTCGAACTGCCTTTGGGGCCGGGACTGGTGGAGGGTTTCAGGGTTTAGGGTTTTCGGGTTTTAGGATTTAGGGTTTAGGGTTTAGGATTTAGGGTTTAGGGTTTAGGGTTTAGGGTTTAGGGTTTAGGGTTTAGGGGCCCTCCCCGAGGCACCCCCACACATGTTGGCCCAAGGTTCTCGGAGTCCAGGGGCACAAAATAGCACAGCTGCACCTCAGCTCCCAAGGTTTAGGGTTTAGGGTTTAGGGTTTAGGGTTTAGGGTTCAGGGTTTAGGGTTTAGGGTTTAGGGTTTAGGGTTTAGGGTTTAGGGTTTAGGGTTTAGGGTTTAGGGTTTAGGGTTTCGGGTTTCGGGTTTAGGGTTTAGGCCCTTTTGAGGGAGGGCACCCGGACTGCGGCCCCGCCACCAAGCTCAGCAGGAATCCGGGCGGGACTTGTCCGCCGAAGATGCAGAGGCTGGCGCGGAGCCTGGGGCTCTTTTAGGGGTGGGTTTAGGGTTTAGGGTTTAGGGTTTAGGGTTTAGGGTTTGGGGTTTAGGGTTTAAGGTTTAGGGTTTAGGGCTTAGGGCTTAGGGCTTAGGGTTTAGGGTTTAGGGTTTAGGGTTTAGGGTTTAGGGTTTAGGGTTTAGGGTTTAGGGTTTAGGGTTTAGGGTTTAGGGTTTTCCAAACAGAAGGTTTAGGGTTTTAGGGTTTTATGTGGGGTTAGAGGGTTTCGGCGGTTTAGGGTTTGAAGGCAAAAGTTTCGGGTTTCGGGGTTTTGGATTTAGTACCGTGAATAAACCCCCAAATACGATCACCCTGATTTTCAGAACCCCACAAGGGGGATCTAAACCCTAAACCCTAAACCCTAAACCCTAAACCCTAAACCCCAAGCCCTAAACCCTAAACCCTAAACCCTAAACCCTAAACCCCAAACCCCATGTGGAATAAGCTCGGAGCCCAAAACCGAAACTCAAATTGAAAACCTCCAGCCCCACTGTCCGCGGAAGTAGGGGTTTAGGGCAGGGGAGTGGAGGGAACTCATCCCCCTTACTTTCTCGGCTTCTTTTCGCGTGTGCAAGCGGGCTTGCGTGTGGTGCCTTCAGTAGTTGTCAGCCTCCGTGGAAAGAGTTCCGCTGCTGCTGAGAGGGTTCCCGGCGATAGTTTGGGCTTTACGGGTCCCAGGATTCCCAGAAGAGGCTTTCAGGAGTCGCGTGATAAAGCTTCGGCTGTTGCATTAACGAATATGTAACTGCTCTGTGCCATTTTGGCTTCTTGTCTTGCTGCGTGCGCGTGTCTCGCAATGATCGGCAAAAGTCTTGTTGGATTTACGCCTCCGAACGACGAACGACGCGCGACCTTCTGGTGGTTGACACGCGATCGTTTGGCAGGTATTGCAGCACTTTCGTTTGATTGTGCCGAAAACAGAAAATTTTATAGGAAGGGCAAGCAACGGACCCTAAGACATGAAGCTGACTTTGTAAGTAGGGTTAGTAAGGTGAGTTATGGTGAGTATAACAGGCTTCCATGGTGACACGAAGCTAGACCCAAGAGCAACCTAGGTTTGGAAGGGGATTCTACGGGACCCTAAACGCTAGGAAAAGGGAACAAGGGCCTACAAACCACAAACCCCAAACCCCAAACCCCAAACCCCAAACCCCAAACCCCAAACCCCAAACCCTAAACCCTAAACCCTAAACCCCAAACCCCAAACCTTAAACCCTAAACCCTAAACCCTAACCCTCAAGGGCGGCGGCTGGCGCCAGAGCTCGCTGCCAACGCGCTGGAGCTCTGCACCTGGCCCACTCTTTTGGGGCTTAGGGTTTAGGGTTTAGGGTTTAGGGTTTGGGGTTTAGGGTTTAGGGTTTGGGGTTTAGGGTTTAGGATTTAGGGTTTAGGGTTTAGGGTGTAGGGCCATTTTGTGCATGTTCGGGCTCTAAGCAGGTTCAGGGCTTCAGGGGCTTCAGGGCTTTTGAGCTTAGGGTTTAGGGTCTTGGGTTTAGGGTTTAGGGTTTAGGGTTTAGGGTTTAGGGTTTAGGGTTTAGGGCTTAGGGTTTAGGGTTTAGGGTTTAGGGTTTAGGGTTTAGGGTTTAGGGTTCAGGGCTTGAAACTTGAGGAAGAACTGTTAACGCGCTGCGCGGGCAGCTGTTAGACTTAAAAGTCGACATCTCCCTTGATTGGGCACTTTCTGTAAGTCGGAGAGTCCTTTCCGTAAGGTGAAGCAACAAAAAGGGTCTAGGGTTTCGGGTCTAGGGTTTAGGGCTTAGGGCTTAGGATTTCGGATGTAGATTGAAAACTCTTTGTACCCATCTCGCCGGACATGGAGAGCCACCCATCTAGTGATCGGAGCCCAGGTTCGGATTTAGGGTTTAGGGTTTCGGGGTTCGGGTTTAGGGTTTAAGGTTTAGGGTGTAGGGTTAGGGTTTAGGGTTTGGGGTTTAGGGCTTAGGGCTTAGGGTTTAGGGCTTATGGTCTAAGGCTGCCAACGAGGGGTAATTCGCATGCTCCTCTTCTGTGGGGCACTGTTCCGGAGCGTGCATTCCGCAGCAGTTTCAACCTCTTGGAAGCGTCCCTCGACGAATCCATCCTGGGAACAATATTTGTCCCGCCGAAGCTTGTGGGGCGCAGCATAGCTCGACATCCTCTGGCATGTACACTTCAGAAGGCTTCTGAAGCACGAGTGCTGCTTTGCTTTCCATGTCCCTGTTCAAGCAGACGGATCTCCTTGCTGCAGTGTGTGACCCTGCTGGCCTCGGCAACGCGGCCCCATGCTCCAAAAAGGACAGCGCTTGGAAGAGGGATCAACAGCTTTCCTTGCGAACTCTGGCCCGTCATGACAGACCGTGAGATCGTCAACATGGACCACCATGATACCACAAAGGATGCCTGCTGATTCCTCAGCATGAAAACCGCCGGGTCTATGCACGACTTGAGGAAACCAAGCTCCCCTGTCATGACTCCGGACAACTCTTGGTACCACGCTCTATGGGCGTCAGAACTACCATGCACGGGTTGAAAGTCTAAGGATTTGATTGGGCTGACCCCTGTTTAGGGGGCTTCGTGCGCATCGGTTCGTTTCCATCAGGAGGGCCCCCCTGAAGAAAGGCATTACTGATGTCCCCTATGAGCCAATGTAGCTAATAGCCATATGAACCTTAACCCCTTAACCCCGAACCCTAAACCCTACACCCTAAACCCCAGACCGGACCCCAAAAATCTCCCAAGAATTTGGGGAGCGAACAGAGCATCGCAGCAGCGTTCTTTGCCTGCAGTGGTTGCGAATTTCGGGGTTTAGGGTCTGGCGCTTCGGGATGTAGGTTTAGGGCTTAGGCCCAAACCCTAAACCCCCACAACCCCCCCACCCTTCCCAAAAAACTGTCCCGGCCGGATTCGTGCAGGAGAACGAAACCTCTCGGGCTGCAGCATGTGGGAATCCCTCGAGAGTTAGGGGTTAGGAGTTTAGGGGGCTTAGGGTTTCTGAGAAGACTAGACCCCAAACCGTAAAGGGGCGTTCGGGGCCCCCAAGCTCCAAGCCCAACAAGCGCCACCATCCCCAAGATTTTCCAGGGTTTCCATACTTCTTGTGGGGTAGCCAAATGCTGAAAAAACCCTACACCTTCAACCCTCCACCCCGAGCCCTCAACCCGAAACCCTAAACCCTAAACCTGTCGGCCTCCACGATCGACTGCACTCCTGTCTGGGAGTGGCCACCTCGGAGTAGCTGAGGGTTTAGGGTTTATTTAGGGTTTAGGGCTTAGGGATTTACCGCACGGTCTTGCGGTTTAGGTGTTTGAGGCTCTAAGACCCTAGTGGGTTGGAGGGTCTTGCGCTAGGGTTGAGGGTTGAGGGTTTAGGGTTTAGGGCTAGGGTTTTGGATTTAGGTTTTCGGGTTTAGGGTTTCGGGTGCTGATCGCAACTTGGGGCTTTGGGGGGGGGGGGGGGGGGGGGGGGGGGGGGGTGTTGTGGGGACCCTAAACCCTCCATTGAACGCGACGGCCAAGAGACCCAAAGCCACCAGTGCCGCGGCACGAAGTGCCGCCGGCGCCGCATCGCGGTCGGCAGCCAACTCCGGCTGAAGGAGGGACCTTTAGATGGTTTGGGGTGTAGGGTTTAGGGGTTTAGGGTTTAGGGTTTAGGGTTTAGGGTTTAGGGTTTAGGGTTTAGGGTTTAGGGTTTAGGGTTTAGGGTTTAGGGTTTCGGGTTTAGGGTGGAAAGTGAGAGCTTCCCTGCGCCTTAGGCGTTTTTCAACGGATGTCTTTCGGGCTTGTAGGGCTCTTCCTTCTGCAGGCTCTTGCCGAGTTTCTCAGTGTGAAGCCGAAGAATGCCCAACTTGTTCGTGAATTTGAAAATGCTGACCTCGTTAAAGTAGACACCATCTTTGTAAGTGCTTTCCTGAATGGTGCCTTGGTCAGGCGTGGCATAAATCACACGATGACCCACCCTTACCCAACATTACCCACCATTACGCGCCATTCCCCCCATTCCCACCGTTGCCATCCGTTGCCTACCATTCCCACCAGTCCCACCATTAACATCTTTACCCACCATTGCCCAACATTCTTTCCCACCAGCACCCACCATTTCCCACCATCACCCACATTCTCACCATGTCCCACCATTCCTCAACATTACCCACCAATACCCACCATTCCCTTACCCATAAATACCCACCGTTATCCACCCCTACCCACCATTAGCCACCCTTCCCACCATTACCCACCATTACCCACCATTACCACCATTCCCACCAAGACCAACTCTTTCCCACAATACCCACCATCGCCCGCACACGCACCGTTCTCCATGATTCCCGCCATTACCCACCATCGCCCACCGTTGCCCACCGTTGCCCACCGTTCCCACCGTTCCCACGATTCCCACGATTCCCCCTTGCCACCATGACCCACAATTACATCCCTACCCACCATTAATTTCCCACCATTACGCACCACTTTTGAGTACCTTCGAGTACCCACCAACACCCACAATCAACCACCGTTCCCAACATTGCCCACCACTAAACACCATCTCCACCATTGACCCACCATTATGCCCACCATTACCCACCATTGCCCACCACTACCCACCATTCCCACCATCCCACCAACCCCCAACATTCCACCATTACCCGACGTTACTTGCGGTACATGTGGGTGCGGGGAATGAATGGCGGGTAGTGGTTTAATCATGGTGGGAAGGGTGAATCGCGGGCAGGGAGGGGATGGTGGGTAATGGTGGAGCTGGTGGGTGATTGGTGGGCAATGGTGGGTCGTGGTGGGACGGCGGGTAACGGCGAGAATGGTGGGCAAGGGTGGGTAATGGTGCAGAACGGCCTGGTGGTGGGTAATGGTGGGTATTGCGGGTAGTGATTGGTTTGGTGGGACTGGCGGGAATGGTAGACAATGGTGGGAATGGTGGGTTCGGGTCATCGGGTAACGGCGGCGGTGGTTTGGAATGGCGGTTGGCAATGGTGGGGATGGCGGGTTTGGGTGGGAATGGTGGGTGTTGGTGGGTAATGGTGGACAAGGGTGCGGATGGTGGGTATTGCAACACACCATCATTGCATTACGCAGCAGTGCCCACCATTACCCACCCTTACCCACCATTCCCGCCATCGCCCACCCACCGTGGCCCACCATGACCCACAACTCCCACCATTTTAGTCACCATTCCCAGCGTGCCACGCCCTTCCCACGATTACCCACCATTCCCACCATTGCCCACCATTGCCCACCATTGCTCACCCCCCGATTACCCGCCAGTACCCACCCTTGCATTACCCACCAGTACCACGTAATGGTGGGAAGGGTGGCTAATGGTGGGCACGGTGGGTATTTATGGGTAATGGTGGGAATGGTGGGTAATGGTGGGTATTGGCGGCAATGGTGTTGTCAAATGGTGGAAATGGCGAGAAATGGTGGGGTGATGGTGGGAAATGGCGGGAACGGTGGGTGGGGGGGGGGCGGCAACCCTGAGCCCTTAAGCAAAACAGCCCTTCCGCACTTCATTCTGGCTGGGCCGGCCAGCTGGGGCTGGGCCTTGTGGGACCATGCCTTCGGCGAGGTTTTAAATAAGACGGACGAGGTTGGAAATGAGACAGACGAGGTCGGAAATCACATTTCCGAGGTTGGTTTTAAGATTCTCTCTGCCTGGGGAAATAAGCCGCAGAGAGGAAATTAAGATAGACGAGGTTAAACATCAGACGGGGTAAGGTCAAAAAGAAGACTGGAAAAGGGGCGAGGTTCAAATCCAGATGACGAGGTTGAAATATAGACACGAGGTTAAAAAAAAAGACGGCGAGGTTCAAAAAAGAGATGCCCCTCTTAAAGCCCTCGCCCTTAACCCGAAACAGCCTGAATAAACCTGTTTTACGGCTTTGAGCCTCCTCTTGAGCGTTTCCCGTGTGTTTTTTCAAGGGTTGTCCGACTCTTGAGGACTGGGGACTGGGGACTGGTTTAGGGTTTAGGGTTTTGGGTTTAGGGTTTAGGGCTGAGGGTTTACAGTAAATTCCAAAAGGTTGGAACATCCTTACCCCCAAAAGGTACACTAATGGGGCTCCCAGCTCGAATCATCCTTAAACCATGTTGCAACTTTCTGGACTTTACTGTAGGGTTCAGGGTTTAAGATTTAGGGTTTAGGGTCTAGGGTCTAGGGTCTAGGGATATGTGTTCCGCTTTTGGTGTTTTCAAGTTTTGGGTGTTGTAAGGATGCTTTGGGCATTGAGGATTTGTAGAGGTTTTGGGGTTGAGGCTCGTTGGAGCTACTTTGGGTTTTCAGGGTTTGGGTTTTAGTGGCTTCTTGGACACTTAGCTGTAAGTCTCTGAGGCTTGGCAGCAAGCCCCAAGCCATAACCCCAAACCCTGAAGCCTGCACCCCAAGCCCCAAGCCCTAAACCCTAAACCCGAACCGAGTATTCCCAAAGTCACACTACTAGGAGTCAAGGAATGTTCCCAAACTCCAGGCCCTAAACCCGAAACCCTAAGCCCTAACTAAAGCTGAAACTGAGCGAAACGCCCAAAATTGAACTCTAAACTCTTCGGTTCGGGGGTTTAGGGTTTAGGGTTTAGGGATTAGGGTTCAGGGGTTAAGGTTTAGGGCATTCCGGGCCCGTGGCGAAAGGAAGTTGGCAAGGCTGGCACCCAGCTCGGGTGTTTCTGCTGCTGCCGTGAGGAGCACCTAGCAGGGATTTAGGGCTGAGGGGTTTAGGGATTTAGGGTTTAATTCTAGGATTTAGGGTTTAAGGTCTAGGAATTTAGGGATTTAGGGCTGAGGGGTTAGGGATTTAGGGTTTAGGGCTAATAAACTTAGGGAAGGGTTGAGAGCCTGCAATTTGGAAGGGGCGCGGGAGGTGGGGGTGGGGTGGGGGGGGGGGGGGGGGGGAGGGGGGCCGAAGGTTTAGGGTTTAGGGTTGAGGTTTAGGCTTTAGGGTTTAGGGTTTAGGGTTTAGGGTTTCGGCTTTAGGGTTTAGGGTTTAGGGTTTAGGGTTTGGGGTTTAGGTTTTAGGGTTTTTGGTTTAGGGTTTAGGGTTTAGGGTTTAGGGTTTAGGGTTTGGGGTTTAGGGTCCGCCGACCCTTCTTTCCCTCCTTTACCCCCCAAAAGCGGGGGGGGCCCCCTGTCCCCCCCCACCCCCCCCCCGACCCCGCCCCCGACCCCCCCCCCACCCCCCCCCCTACCCCCCTACCCCCCCCCCCCCACCAAACTTTGGCATCCTTTGACCTAACGAACGCGTTTAAACCTTTCAACTATGCTCCAGCGGGGTCGGCGGCTTGAGCCGGAGGCTCTTAAATTTAGGGTTTAGGGTTTAGGGTTTAGGCCTCAAGGCTTGGAACTTGGCGTTTCGCGGAGGGTTTCGGGTCCGGCCGCAGATTTGAAACGCCCTTAGGGTTGAAGGCTCGGGTTTAGGGTTTAGGGTTTAGGGTTTTGGGTTTAGGGTTTAGGGTTGAGGGTTTAGGGTTTAGGGTTTAGGGGTTAAGGTTTAGGGTTTAGGGTTTCGGGTTTGGGGTTTAGGGTTTAGGGTTTAGGGTTTAGGGTTTAGGGTTTAGGGTTTAGGGTTTAGGGTTTAGGGTCTGCCCCAAACCCTGAACCCTGAAGCCCAAGCCTGCAGCAAGCGACTGTTCAAGAAGGCCCAGGTCAGGGTACGGCGATGGAGTATCAGGTCCTTGGCAGGGGTCAGGGTTCAGGGTTTAGGGTTTGGGGTTTGGGGGCTTTAGGGTTTAGGGTTTAGGGTTTAGGGTTTAGGGTTTGGGGTTTGGGGCTTTAGGGTTTAGGGCGGCTGGGCGGGCTTGATCTGCAACTGATGGATTCTATCGCAACATGCGGTGATTGCTGCGTTGTCGGCTGCAGAGGTGTAGGCTATGGTTGGTTTAGGGGCTTCGGATTGAAAGCCATGTCTTTGAGGTTGTTGGGTTCAAGTTTTAGGGCTTAGGGCAGGCTTGTGGGGGCTGTACGGACATGAGTTGAAGGCTTGATTCTTGGCAGCCATATATAGCTGCGATTTTAAGTTAACTACGGTGCGAACGCCCTACACATAAACCCTACCCATGACAGGGGTCCAAGTGCAAGATCAATTCTGAGAGTCCTCGTTGCGCTGGGCGATGGCAGGCTCGCTTGAATCTGCATCTGCCTGAATGCAGGGCCCATTTTAGGGTTTCAGGGTTTAGGGTTTAGGGTTTAGGGTTTAGGGTTTAGGGTTTAGGGTTTAGGGTTTAGGGTTTAGGTGCGCATCAGCTTCAAGCACGGGCTGTGACCCTACAGGAGAAGCCCGACACCAAAAACCCTATACCCTGAACCGGGTTTGGGTTTGAGCCCTAAACCCTAAACCCTAAACCCTAAACCCTAAACCCTAAACCCTAAACCCTAAACCCTAAACCCTAAACCCTAAAGCCTAAACCCTAAACCCTAAGCCCTAAGCCCTAAGCCCTAAGCCCTAAGCCCTAACCCAAAACCCTAAACCCTAGCCTTAAACCCCAAACCCTACTAAGCTTGGGCATTTTTGATAATTTAGGTGCCGCAAGGGCGGGTAGGGTTTTTTGGAGACTCGAAGTCCACGCTTGCATGTCTACGAGATTGGGCAATGAGGCGGTTTGGGGTTTAGGGTTTGGGGTTTAGGTTTAGGGCCTTGCTAAAAAGGGTAGTTGTTCTAAGTCGGGTAGCCAGTTATAGCTGGCCATGACATCATCTGGAGAGCTCGTAAAACTAGGTAGCGGCACCTGTGGTGTGCCATGCGTTTGTGTATGTAGCTTCTGGGCGCATATGGTGAAGACTTGGGAAAAAGCATTGTTTTTTGCAGGACGCATCAGCTAGCAGGCCACTCCCTTGACACATTCAGGGTTTAGGGTTTAGGGTTTAGGGTTTAGGGTTTAGGGTTTAGGGTTTAGGGTTTAGGGTTTAGGGTTTAGGGTTTAGGGTTTAGGGTTTAGGGTATATAGTTTTTCAGAGGATTAACATGCGGCAGCAGCGTTTCGGCCCAGACTCCAATCGCTACTTTGTCAGGCCCTGTTCTTTCTTTCTGTCTTTCTGCCTTCTGTCTAAGTCCGTCGTTCTTTTTATTTCTGTCTTCCTGTCTTGTGTCAGGGGGGGGAGGGGGGGGGGGGGACAAAACACTGGTCATTGCAGCGTC